ACAGCAGTGAATGTAGAGTTGAGAAGAGGTATGCAGTAGCATACCATTATGTAGAATTTCCATTCTACAGATGCAATAATGTAAATCAACCCAAAAACATAGATAATGGTACACAGTAGTAAGATACTTAGAATTTTTGAGTTCTTACTATCTTGTTTTTAATGTAATTTATTGAGTTTATGTAGTTTGATATTTGATAATGTATGTGTTATAACCAGTTTTCAAGATTCCTGGAAATTGAACAATTGGCTCTCACAGGCCTTTTTGGATCAGGTCCACAAGAAGGCATAACATCAGCAAAGAGGAAGAAAAGGGATGCTGTAGAGTTTGCAGACTTTAAACATTTTGAGTAAAATACAACAGTAGGAGTGTTTTCACTCCCAATTATGTATAATAATTAAGATCTGTTACTTAGATGATCCCCTCAGTATTTTTTAGATTTATTAGGGAAAATTGAATCTGTTTTTATTTTTATTTTTCTCACCAACTTTTCCTACCACTTCCTTACTTCCATAGATTAAGAGCAAATATAATGCCTGATTGATTTTAAGACTCCTAGATAATGAATAGAATAAAAAAAAATTAAAGCTGTCCTGAAAAGAGATAGTTGAGTCCAAGCCCCTGATTTTGTATACCTGAAAATGGAGATTTTGTTATGTTACCCAGTAGTGGCAGAAAAAAGAAAAAAACTCTATGCTCCTGATTGTAAGGTCATGCCTTTTGTACTGCTCTACACGAAACCTTAATTCCTGGACCATCTTCATCAGGGGAGTCTTTGGCACATTCCTGGGGTGTGAAAGGAAAGGGCTGTCCCATCAATCAGGTCTCCCTATCTGGCCTGTTAAATCCACCACTGGCACAAGCACAGTGAAGTTCTGTTCCAGCTCATTGTGCTAGAAATAAACGAAGGTCTCATAGCAGCCATTATAGTCTAATTATATTTGACAGCCAACGTGACAGGTTTTGTTTATTTGTTTGTTTATTCTTTTAGTGGTTATGGCTTAGAAAAAAAAATGAATCACACTGTCAAAACCATCTTACCCTTCAGGAGTTCTCTCTTTGCTTCATTTAAAAGTTTATAAAAGCACCTATTTCTAGCATGCATAATACAGGGAACAGTTTCATTGAGAAGTCTGTATAAGAGTGCATAACTTGTGTGATACTCAGTGATGGCAAGCTGCTTCTGATACCCTGTGGTACACTGGACAAGGGCATAAGAATTCTGACCCTCATATAGAAATCACATATGAAGATGTGTGTGTGTGTGTGTGTGTGTGTGTGTGTGTGTGTGTACGTGCACGCAAACAAATGTTAGGCATGATGTTATTTTTAATCCTTTAAGCAGGAGGCAACAAATGTGTCTAGAAAATTTGGGCAACATTAGACATAAAACTGTAAAGGTTCATAATGGTGCTATAACTATAGGATGATTAACAGATTACATTTGACCTTCCCTTGATTTACCTTTCTCCAGATCACTCACCTTTCTAGAAATAGCAACAGCGTATACTCCAATGTGATGTGACAAATAGAAATTGATCACTTTCATGTAGAGTTACTAGCTAAAGATCTCTGCTTTTTGTACTATCTAATTCTAATTTTACCAATTTTGCTAAACTATTGATATGTCCTAAATGGTTTAAAACAAAGTAATAAAAACTTTGTTGAGATCCAATTCCATATCAGCATATTAAAAGTATAATTGAACCTAATAAAATAAAGTATAAAAAAATCCAGGAAGGAGAAAATAGAATCAAATAGTGATAGTAATCTGTGTGAGAAACTTTAGTTGGTTGCAAATTCTTCCTGAGTCATTCTTGGGACAAGATTGCAAAGAGCATGAGTGTGAACATTTTGAATCTTGCCTTCCTCTAAGAAGTACAGGTGAAAGCTTCTATTAGCCCCACTCTAGTCCAGACTGGAAAGTTTGTACCTCGCGTGTCAGCTTGAGCAATACATGTTTTCATTTTCTATGGCTTTCTATAAATTAAATTTCACCTAGATATCATTGCGACTCAGTCTGAGAGTTAGGGACTATTGTATTTGCTCATTCATCATGTGCTTATAGTGTTCTCTCTTAGTTATGTTTCTTACTCTCTGTCCCTATATGGCTATCTTATTGATAATTGGTTATGACACTATTTTTGACAATGTGTAGAGAAATGCATTTTATACATGTTCTCTTTTATACACTTTTATATACATAGCTATTTCCAGAACTAAAACTTTCTAGCTTAATGAAAGTGGACTGTGATTAGCTGTAGGGAGAACATAATGAAATACATAGAAATTGAGTATACTTGCACAAAAATCCCCAGGAAGACTTTGGTGACTTTGTAAATCACTGTCAGGTATAGTTGGAAGGATAAAGGAGAACTATTTATGTGTGAGAGAAGAGAAAAATTAGTGGGTACTTCCTGACTAGAATAATTATTCATAAAAAGAATTGTTAAACTTTAGAGAAATTCAGTTTCTTTTTGTGACTATCAGTGGATGGGAATTGTGAGTTCACAGATTCTGGTCGCTTTAGAAAAATGTTTCTAACAGATGGAGGTATTCAAAGATGGAATATGCTGTTTTACAATCAATATCCTTCTTCAAGAGGTTTTCAAAAGGAACTGAAAGATAAATATATTAAAAGTTTTGTAAATGGGACTGATTTATCAGACATAGGGTTCCAATAAGTAGGTTTCCCTAAGATTTCTTTCAACACAGAGAATCTATGATTCAGTGGTATATCATTGCTGACTTCAACATTTATATCCCAAACACCTGACTGTATGTAACTTTATTCAAAATGATGAAGAGAAGATGTCATGACCTTCATTTAGCTTTCTATTAATTTGTAATTGCTTATCTAAAACTCAACGATGATTGACAAGTTATGCTCAGGTACTATCCCTACTACTTGTTAACATTAATCACTCAACCTAGAAGAATAAGTAGTGACTATTTACAAACCTATACCTAATTTTTTATCTTAATTTTCCTATCTAGGTTTTCATATATTTAATAAGCATATAGCTAAGTCATTTATTAAATCATAAAACTTAGATATAGATTTAATATTGCATAGCCTTTACATAGAAATGTTTAATAATGGAGAAAGGTGTTTAATCAACATGTTGAATGTGAAACCAATTCATAATTTGAGAGGTCAATAATAAAGGACCATCATCCATCATGATTTAATCAGTCATATTTTACTAAGAGCTATTCAAAAATAAGTGAGAGCATTCACAAAAGGACTAGTTCATAATATTTAAGCTTGTATTCTTAGACCATCACTAACCATAGTGTTCATGATATTAATTACATAGAGTATACCACTTTCTAAAGGACCAACCTCAGTTTTTTTTTTTTAAGATTTTATTTATTTAAAGCTTACTGGAGGAAAAAAAGGGAATAAAGAAATAGTCCAAGTGGGGACAGCAGTGGGTTTCCATCCACTAAACACCAGGTTCAGACAGAATAAGAGGTGGTGGCTGAGGTCATGGCCGGGCACTCGAAATGTAGTCCCCAGTGTTTCTCATTTTTGCCTGCCCCCAAGAATCATCTTGGCTGCCTGGTAAATGTCTCTTTCCTGGAGATTCTAATTCAGAAGGTTTGAGGTTGTGCCCAGCAATAGGTATTTTTAAGAAGCTCCCCAGGTGAACATTGTGATCCAGAAGGATTAAGAAACACTGAAGTCCAAACACTTGCTACTCAGAAGGTGGCCGACGGACCAGTAGCCACAGCTGGAAGTTTGTTTGAATCAGATTCTGAGTCCATAGAGCTGAGGCAAGACCTGGAATTCTGCATTTCTAACCAGCACCCAGGGGATGCTAATGCTTCGGGTTTGTGCACCCCATTTGAGCAGCAAGGATCCTGAGGGCTTTAGGCAAGAGGAAGAAGGAAGGCAGAGTCATCATGAAATCCTGCTCTGTGGGGGATCTTGGCGCTGTCAGGGGCAGGTCATTAAAATGGGACCAAAGTCCATGGATGTGGCGGCGTGAACAAAACTTCTTAAATATTGAAACACTAAGATTAGGCTTTAGAAATGTAAAATCAAATGCAAGTGTCTATGAGGTCCAAACTTCTTTATGAGAGCATCAACATAATAGGAACCCCCCCACAAAGATAGAGATTATGTTATGTAACTCCAAAGGGAATATCTCAGATCGTAAGTCCATTACCACACTTCATTGTCCTGAAGTAAAACCATTAATATTCTTCTTTTTCAAATACTGTTGACTGCCAAAGAAAAATTGTGAAGATGCCCCTTTAGCCAAAATATGTTTGTCATCCTGTATCATTGTTTCAATCACCACTGTGTCTATTCTGTCATTTTGCATGTTTCTATAACTCAAGTTAGCTCATCTACTATTGTTAAGTAGGGGTATAATGTCCGTATTATGCAAAATTTTGTTGGTTCACATGTGGTTTTCTCAAGCAAGACAAGTGTTAATAGTGTCATAGATTTCAGCAGGAAAGAGGAAAAGACATCATTTCAGCTACGGCCCTGGCAGCAGGAGCCCTTGCAGAACATTCCAGTGGAATGCAAGCAGGCAGGGCTTCCTCTCCAGACAGGCTTACCATCAGTTCTGTTAAATTAGTAGCAAGTTACACTTCCTTCCAGGTCCATATTATACCATCAGCCTTGCTGTCTGAGATCTCTATTTCTGTGTTTCTTCAGTACCTGCCATATCTTCTTAATTAATTTTTTCTTGGTGCATTACTAAAAAAAATATGTGGCAGATTTAGTTACACTAATCTAACTGCTTTGGCAGTCCAAGTTAACTCCACAGGTAATTGGTACTGTTTCTGTTTGTAATTCAGTTAAAACACTTAAGATTTGCTTTGTCATCTCCCGCTACTATCTAGTATATGAAGTCTTTCAGTGACACATATCATTATAGAGAAATATCTCTTCTGTGATAGGCACAGGACATCTAGAATTGAATAATACACAGTCTCTGCCTTCATGCTGCTCAGAATTTGGTGAGAAGAGCATGTAAACTATGAGTTTTAATACAAGAGAGGCCAAGATCACAGAGTAGCTCTTACGTTCACTGGAGACATACGAGAGGCTCGAAGCTGACAAAAAGAAGCAGGTGCACAAGAAGCGGAAGTGCCCAGGGCCCATAATCACCTATCATTCGGTGACGGTGCCGCTTGTTGGGGAGCCAGGCCCTAAAGAGGAGAACGTGGATGTGGAAGGACTGGATCCTACTCCCACAGCCTCTGCGCTGACTCCTTGTGCAGGCACTGGACCCGTCGTCCCTCCAGCTCGCTGCTCCCGTACCTTCATCACTTTTAGCGATGATGCAACATTTGAGGAATGGTTTCCCCAAGGGCGGCCCCCAAAGGTCCCTGTTCGGGAGGTCTGCCCTGTCACCCATCAGCCAGCCCTGTACCGGGACCCTGTCACAGACATCCCCTATGCCACTGCTCGAGCCTTCAAGATCATCCGTGAGGCCTACAAGAAGTACATCACTGCCCATGGACTGCCGCCCACTGCCTCAGCGCTGGGCCCTGGCCCGCCACCTCCTGAGCCCCTCCCTGGTTCTGGGCCCAGAGGCTTGCGCCAGAAAATTGTCATCAAATGAGATGCTTAGTCCTTGGAAACCCCTCTCCTGCCTTGACTTGGGGCTCTTCACGTTTCCCCTTGTCTCCCTGCTTTTCCCCTTTGTCAGCTCTGAACTTTGCTCAGCCCTTTTCTATATTTCTTCCTCCCCCCCCCCCCCCCCCCCCCCCCCCCCCCGTTCCTGCTAGTTTTGTGTTTTTGGACAAAACACACATATGGAATGCTATTTCCATATGAGCTTTCAGAGCTTTAAATTTATTTATTTATTTATTTATTTATTTTTAATAAACATATAACGTATTTTTATCCCTAGGGGTACAGGTCTGTGAATCGCCAGGTTTAGATATTTCACAGCACTCATCATAGCACATACCCTCCCCAATGTCCATATCCCCACCACCCTCTCCCGTCCCCCCTCCCTCCAGCAACCCTCAGTCTGTTTTTTGAGATTGAGTTTTTTATGGTTTGTCTCCCTCCCAATCCCATCTTCTTTCATTTATTCTTTTCCTACCCCTCAACCCCCCCCACATTGCATCTTCACTTCCTCATATCAAGGAGATCATATGATAGTTGTCTTTCTCTGATTGGCTTATTTCGCTAAGCATAATACCCTCTAGTTCCATCCACGTTGTCGCAAATGGCAAGATTTCATTTCTTTTGATGGCTGCATAGTATTCCATTGTGTATATATACCACATCTTCTTTATCCATTCGTCTGTTGATGGACATCTAGGTTCTTTCCATAGTTTGGCTATTGTGGACATTGCTGCTATAAACATTTGGGTGCACATGCCCCTTCGGAGCACCACGTTTGTATCTTTAGGATATATACCCAGTAGTGCAATTGCTGGGTCATAGGGTAGCTCTATTTTCAGTTTTTTGAGGAACCTCCACGCTGTTTTCCAGAGTGGTTGCACATGCTTGCATTCCCACCAACAGTGCAGGAGGGTCCCCCTCTCTCCGCATCCTCGCAATCATCTGTCGTTTCTTGACTTGTTAATTTTAGCCATTCTGACTGGTGTGAGATGGTATCTCATTGTGGTTTTTTTTTTTTTCTGAAAAATATGAAACTTTTATTCTTATTATGTTATGTTAGTCACCATACAGTACATCATTAGTTTTTGATGTAGTGTTCCATGATTCATTGTTTGCATATAACACCCAGTGCTCCATGCAATCTGTGCCCTCCTTAATACCCACCACCAGGTTTACCCATCCCCCACCCTGTCCCTTCTAAAACCCTCAGTTTGTTTCCCAGAGTCCATAGTCTCTCATTGTTCATCTCCACTTCCCATTCCCCCCCTTCATTTTTCCCTTCCTTCTCCTAATGTCCTCCATGCTATTCCTTATGTTCCACAAATAAGTGAAACCATATGATAATTTATTTTCTTTTTTTTTCCAATTCCAGAGGCTTTATTAAAATGATTATTTCTTCCATTTGTTTGTTGTTTATTTATCTAGTGGCATGACTTTGAGCCCAATTCTATGTTTTTTTCAACTTTTCTTTTTTTTAATCATTTTTTTAATTTATTTTCAGCATAACAGTATTCGTTGTTTTTGTACCACACCCAGTGCTCCATGCAATCTGTGCCCTCTCTAATACCCACCACCTTGTTCCCCCAACCTCCCACCCCCTCATTGTGGTTTTGATTTTTATTTCCCTGATGCCGAGTGATGTGGAGCATTTTTTTATGTGTCTGTTGGCCATCTGGATGTCTTCTTTGCAGAAATGTCTATTCATGTCCTCTACCCATTTCTTGATTGGATTATTTGTTCTTTGGGTATTGAGTTTGCTAAGCTCTTTATAGATTTTGGATGCTAGCCCTTTATCTGATATGTCGTTTGCAAATATTCTTCTCCCATTCTGTCAGTTGTCTTTTGGTTTTGTTCACTGTTTCCTTTGCTGTGCAAAAGCTTATGATCTTGATGAAATCCCAATAGTTCATTTTTGCCCTTGCTTCCCTTGCCTTTGGCGATGTTCCTAGGAAGAAGTTGCTGCAGTTGAGGTCAAAGAGGTTGCTGCCTGTGTTCTCCTCAAGGATTCTGATGGATTCCTTTCTCACTTTGAGGTCCTTCATCCATTTTGAGTCTATTTTTGTGTGTGGTGTAAGGAAATAGTCCAATTTCATTTTTCTGCATGTGGCTGTCAAGTTTTCCCAGCACCATTTGTTGAAGAGGCTGTCTTTTTTCCATTGGACATTCCTTCCTGCTTTGTCGAAAATTAGTTGACCATAGAGTTGAGGGTCTATTTCTGGGCTCTCTATTCTGTTCCATTGATCTATGTGTCTGTTTTTATGCCAGTACCATACTGTCTTGATGATGACACTTTGTAATAGAGCTTGAAGTCTGGAATTGTGATGCCACCAACTTTGGCTTTCTTTTTCAATATTGCTTTGGCTATTTGAGGTCTTTTCTGGTTCCATATAAATTTTAGGATTGTTTGTTCTATTTCTTTGAAAAAAAATGAGGGTATTTAGATAGGGATTGCATTAAATGTGTAGATTGCTTTAGGTAGAATAGACATTTTCACAATATTTGTTCTTCCAATCCAGGAGCATGGAACATTTTTCCATTTCTTTGTGTCTTCCTCAATTTCTTTCATGAGTACCTTATAGTTTTCTGAGTATAGATTCTTTGCCTCTTTGGTTAGGTTTATTCCTAGGTATCTTATGGTTTTGGCTGCAATTGTAAATGGGACTGACTCCTTAATTTCTCTTTCTTCTGTCTTGTTGTTCGTGTAAAGAAATGCAACTGATTTCTGTGCATTGACTTTATATCCTGACACTTTACTGAATTCCTGTACAAGTTCTAACAGTTTTGGAGTGGAGCCTTTTGGGTTTTCCACATATAGTATCATATCATCTGCAAAGAGTGATAGTTTGATTTCTTCTTTGCCAATTTGGATGCCTTTAATTTCTTTTTGTTGTCTGATTGCTGAGGCTAGGACTTCTAGTACTATGTTGAACAGCAGGGGTGATAATGGACATCCCTGCCGTGTTCCTGACCTTAGTGGGAAAGCTTTCAGTTTTTCTCCATTGAGAATGATATTTGCAGTGGGTTTTTCATAGATGGCTTTGATAATATTGAGGTATGTGCCCTCTATCCCTACACTTTTAAGAGTTTTAATCAGGAAGAAATGCTGCACTTTGTCAAATGCTTTTTCAGCATCTATTGAGAGTATCATATGGTTCTTATTCTTTCTTTTATTAATGTATCACATTGATTTGCGGATGTTGAACCAACCTTGCAGCCCTGGAATAAATCCCACTTGGTCGTGGTGAATAATCCTTTTAATGTACTGTTGGATCCTATTGGCCAGTATTTTGGTGAGAATTTTCTCATCTGTGTTCATCAAGGATATTGGTCTGTAGTTCTCTTTTTTGATGGGATCCTTGTCTGGTATTGGGATCAAGGTGATGCTGGCCTCATAAAATGAGTTTGGAAGTTTTCCTTCCATTTCTACTTTTTGGAACAGTTTCAGGAGAATAGGAATTAATTCTTCTTTAAATGTTTGGTAGAATTCCCCTGGGAAGCCGTCTGGCCCTGGACTTTTGTTTGTTTGGAGATTTTTTTTTTTTTAAAGATTTTATTTATTTTATTTGACAGATAGAGATCACAAGTAGGCAGAGATGCAGGCAGAGAGAGAGGGAAGAGGAAGCAGGCTCCCTGCTGAGCAGAGAGCCCGATGTGGGGCTCGATCCCAGGACCCTGGGATCATAACCCGAGCCGAAGGCAGAGGCTTTAACCCACTAAGCCACCCAGGCGCCCCTGTTTGGAGATTTTTGATGACTATTTCAATCTCCTTACTGGTTATGGGTCTGTTCAGGTTTTCTATTTCTTCCTGGTTCAGTTGTGGTAGTTTATATGTCTCTAGAAATGTATCCATTTCCTCCAGATTGTCGAATTTGTTGGCGTAGAGTTGCTCATAGTATGTTCTTATAATTGTTTGTATTTCTTTGGTGTTGGTTGTGATCTCTCCTCTTTCATTCATGATTTTATTTATTTGGGTCCTTTCTCTTTTCTTTTTGGTAAGTCTGGCCAGAGGTTTGTCAATCTTATTAATTCTTTCAAAGAACCAGCTCCTAGTTTCGTTGATTTGTTCTATTGTTTTTTTGGTTTCTATTTCATTGATTTCTGCTCTGATCTTTATGATTTCTCTTCTCCTGCTGGGTTTAGGCTTTCTTTCTTGTTCTTTCTCTAGCTCCTTTAGGTGTAGGGTTAGGTTGTGTATTTAAGACCTTTCTTGTTTCTCGAGAAAGGCTTGTACCACTATATATTTTCCTCTCAGGATTGCCTTTGCTGTGTCCCACAGATTTTGAACCATTGTGTTTTCATTATCATTTGTTTCCATGAATTTTTTCAATTCTTCTTTAATTTCCTGGTTGGCCCATTCATTCTTTAGAAGGATGCTGTTTAGTCTCCATGTATTTGGGTTCTTTCCAAATTTCCTCTTATGATTGAGTTCTAGCTTCAGAGCATTGTGGTCTGAAAATATGCAGGGAATGATCCCAATCTTTTGATACCGGTTGAGGCCTGATTTAGGACCCAGGATGTGGTCTATTCTGGAGAATGTTCTATGTGCACTAGAGAAGAATGTATATTCTGTTGCTTTGGGATGAAATGTTCTGAATATATCTGTGATGTCCATCTGGTCCAGTGTGTCATTTATTTCCTTGTTGATCTTTTGCTTGGATGATCTGTCCATTTCAGTGAGGGGAGTGTTAAAGTCCCCTACTATTATTGTATTATTGTCAATGTATTTCTTTGATTTTGTTATTAATTGGTTTATATAGTTGGCTGCTCCCATGTTAGGGGCATAGATATTTAAAATTAGGTCTTCCTGTTGGATAGATCCTTTGAGTATGATATAGTGTCCTTCCTCATCTCTTATTATAGTCTTTGGCTTAAAATCTAATTGATCTGATATAAGGATTGCCACCCCAGCTTTCTTCTGATGTCCATTAGCATGGTACATTGTTTTCCACCCCCTCACTTTAAATCTGGAGGTGTCTTCGGGTCTAAAATGAGTTTCTTGTAGGCAGCATATTGATGGGTTTTGTTTTTTTATCCATTCTGATACCCTGTGTCTTTTGATTGGGGCATTTAGCCCATTAACATTCAAGGTAACTATTGAGAGA